CCTAAACCAAAATTAAGAAATTTTTAACATAGTCAAAACTCTATAATATATATAGTCTAATTAGTTTTATATCAATAAAAATGCCAATGCAAAATTTTATTTTTGGCCAGATTAAGACATTATTCTTCATTTTCTTTTATTACTAGATGTACCAACTCTTCCGCTAGTAACCTCGTGCTTATTTTTACTTAATTTAATCGCTTCAGCCTGAATTGGATCACTAGTATGAGATTTAGTTTGTCTTTCTTCAGCAGCAAGTATGTATACTAAATGTGAATATCTAGCAATCCATGATTCTACAGTATTGACTTTGGGAATTTCATCAGCTTCAAGTTCACCTTCCTCAACTAACTCGTTCAATGCCTTTACCATTTTTGTAGCTAACATACGCTCTGTTTTGTCTATGTCATCTGCGATAAAAAATGCTTTCAAATAGTCTTTTACTTTTTCACTTATTCTTTTTCCAGAGCCACGCTTTCCTAATTTTTAGTTACTTTTCAAGGCCCAACCACTTGCAAGAGGAAAATCTGATTTGAGCTTGAGATTGTTCAACTCATCTTTTTCTACACAGTTAGAATTTATTATTAAAATAGTGAATTCAAAGCATTCTGTTTTTACTTACTATTATCTTTCTTTTCAATTATTTTTGACTCGTCATATGTAACTATAATATAATTTAGCATTATACAAAATAAACTTTTAGTCAAGTAATTATACTGTATTTACTATTTTTGTGAGAGATAGGAAATTTCCATAACTTTTGTGGTGTTGTGTAAGGTGAAATTTTAGGTGTTGGTTTATGAATTGGTTCTTCCATTAATTTTTCCATATCAAAAGGTGAAAAGTAAACCCATTCTCCAATATGTAGCAACTCTCTGCCCTGAATAAAACCAGCGTAATTACCAACAATAGGCCATTCCCAATAATTCAAATAAGATATCTTTTCCATCATCTTAACAGACACATGATCTCTCTGTGGTTCTATATTTGCAACGTAAGTTTCTGCAAGATTCTGAATAGCAGATACAATTGATTCTCCTGAATCTAAGATATTTCCTATTCTTATATATCTTTTTATTGCATGTGAAATCTGTTGAAACAAAAATTAATAAGAATTAATATCTAGATAAATTCCGAAAAAAAAAAAAAAAACCATAGCGTGATGTGAATCAACAAGTGATTTGGCTTCTCCGGCTTCAAAAAAAAACCACCCAAGTACTTCAATATTATACCACTATTGTCAATTCTGAACTATAGCTAATATTTTTGAACTATGATAATGACCACCATTATCTGAAAATATTTTTATCCATTTTGGTTTAGGCTTAAGAGTTTTAAATACTGCGTCAAATGAGGAGGCCATAAACCAAGCATCTTGTTTGGTGTCTGATGACCAATGGTCAAATGCTTGAACCTCAATAACTCCATTTTGTTTTATAAATATAAGAATACTATATAACAACTATCCTCTTTTTCCATAAAAGCTTTTTTTTTGTTCACGTGCTGATTTAGATAAAATTTTCATTTTATAGTCAACAAGTAATATTGCACCATTTTCATCCATTTCTAATAATTGAGCTGTGAATTAACTATTAAGATAGGCTTTTCGTGCCTGATGTGCCAGAAAATAAATAAGCTTTTCTTCATATTCTTGAAGTACTAAATGGTGTTCCGAAGGTAATGTTTTTTTCAAATAACCGAGCAGATTAAATAATTGATTGCAATTTTTGCTGAATGAACATAAGTACACTTATCAAATGCATATAGAAGACAATGACTTATACAGCTCATATGATTAGTTGTTCTATTACTATTAACTAGTAGTTCTTTCTCAAATTCACATCTCATATGATGTCGAAGAAGTTCAATATTATTTATTAAGGTTTTATTATTACTATTATTAAATTATTATTATATTTTTAATTATACACTTACCTGCTTCTGTTCTTTATTTATATTTATTTTAACCAATTGTATTAATGAATCAAATGTTTCATACCTATAATCGTTACAAATATTTCATAAACCACCCAAATCTTGTTGAAACACATATCTCCCATTTTCTAATCGTGCCATAAAAGAGGTTCTTTTAATTCTATTAGGGTAAGTAGCTTCAAACCTTTCTCAAAGTGTTTGTTTATTATCTTTAAGATACAAGATTGGCAAATTTGTTTTTGAATCTACTGCATAGAAACTTATAAAAACAGTTTTTTTGTCTAAAAAAAATGCTTCAAATTGTTGATTTTTAATTTCAGATAAACGTGAGCGAGTTATAATAGGTTTTGATATTGGGCAATCAGGACCATTTATTTTAGCATATTTTTTAGCCGCTATTATAAAACATTTTGAAATCTATAATAACATAAAACTACTAGTATTATTTTATATTTATAATTTATACAATTCATAATTTATATTGATATCTAATTTGCCTGCAATTTTTCTTGTAATTCTTTAGGTTTGAAATTTTCTACTATTATAGATAATATTCTTTGTTTTCCATCTAATCCACGTTTGTTTTTTTCAAGTGATTCAGAAAAACTTTTCCAAAATTGTATTTCATTGTTTGCTTCTAATGGTAGTGGCTGAACAATCATTTTCTCTTTAAGATTTAATAAGCTGTTCTGGTATAATATTAAAATATTTTCTTTATCTATTGAAAAATCAATAGCATATATCCAAAATTCAAGCTAAACCAATTTTTTAAAATTAGTGTATTATTATTTTTATTTGACATTTTTAATTGATAATATATGTAAGTAATATTCCTTGTAATATTTTTATTACAGTCAAAGCTCTATAATTACATTATATTATATATCTAATTTGGCATATTTAAAGCATATTTGACTACAATTCAACTTGTAATTTTATTAATTCAGTATATATAGATACAAGTGATAAAAAACCAAATCAATTACTTTATTCATATCCACTGAATTACCCATATTCACTAGTTGAAATTAAACAATTCAACATGTTGAATGGCACAATTTAATACCATTCAACATGCCTTTCGACTTGTAATTTAACTATTACATAATTTTTGAAGACGTGCATGTCCATGAAATTATGTAATAATATCAAATGACAAGTGAAAGGCATGTTGAATAGCATTCGAACTATGCCATTTGACATGTCAAATTGTTTAATTTCGACTAGTGATTCTTCTTATATTATTATTTTGTATAGAATTTTATATATTGATATAAAACTAATTAGACTATATATATTATAGAGTTTTGACTATGTTAAAAATTTCTTAATTTTGGTTTAGG